AGAGAGAGATTGAGAGAGAGAGATAAAACAACAGATGTATTTGGAAACACTCCTCTCTTATTTCTCTTCTGCTTGCAATGGCAAAATGCTGTCTCCTGGGATATCCAAGATAACTTAGCTGCTGTGATGCTAGGCTAACCTGAAAGTGAACTACTGAAATTCTGTCTCTAGAAAAGACAGATTAGTTGTCTTATTAGTTTTATACTTATAAAAGATGAATTATCACTAGGATTACTAAGAAGAATTTTGTGTTAGATCATTTTTCTCAAATCTCCACTATAGACTCATCTGCTCACCTGAGGGTTTTGAGTTTTATGGAGCAAAATTTGCCTAGAACAGGTTGTCAGCTTCTGTGGACACAGTCTACTCCCGGGAATCCCACTGGAAGAAAGAACAAATGAAGCATCTCAAGGACTGGAGGATTCTCTTCCCCCGGGGTATTCAAGGAAGACACCAGGGAACAAATTGAACAAAGTTTATTTCATCAACAATGAAAAATGCCCAGAAGGAAATGAAGCACAAGATTCAGTTACACAAAAATGAAAGCTATTGACCACTTGGCCACTTCTCATACTAAAAGAGAAGGAAATAATAGGAAGTACTGGAAACGACATTAAATTGTCCTCATGGTGACAACCAAGATGGGCCTGACATAAGCCAGTCCAGGCTGTATGTGTGGCCCAAGTGCGCACATGTGGTTCTCCGGTCACTGAATCAGAACCAGCCAGGCCCCACGAGTCAGAGTCTCTGGGGGCTGTGATTCTGCATTGCAAACAAGTCCTTGGGTAGCTCTGAAGGTTCACCAAGGTTTGAGAACCACTGGTGTGGCTGACTTCCGTGAAACAGTCCCACTTTTACAGCTTTCAACTGTCATTTATACAAATTCAGGCAAAGAATGGTTTTTAGCATGATGCCCGATGTAGCAGATAACATGACCTCAACATAGAGTTGATCTTTGCTGCAGTCTTTTCTCAGATGGGAAGAACTGATCATCCCTCTCTGCCACATAATTTGTTCCCTTGAGGTTTCATAGCCTCCGGAAGGTTCAGGTGCTCCCATGTCCACTTCCCATTGCCTTGCCGGGTTCCCATGGAGGAAGGCTGCCCAGGTCTTGGGCCAGTCTTAGATGGGCATTTTCATTCTGCAGGTATACACAGCACATTTCACATCAGTGTGGAATGCCTACTTCAGGCCATGCCAAGGATTCTAACTTCTTCTATAACCAGGAACTTCTTACACTCACCTCCAGCTGAGTGAAATTATACTAACAGGTGATCACTTAAAGGGCACGCAGCTCAGCCCTTCCTAGACAGTCTGGATGTCATCCCTGGATTAAGCCAGACTTCAAAGAACTATGGTTATAGACCATTTGCCTTGGCCGCAGAGCCTCTTTCTTGAAATGTGCCTTATCATAACCATCTCACCATCTCCTGAGGGAGGTCTTAGTCAGTTATCATTCAAAGCCTGCTGCGCTGAAGATGTCACCCACTGAACCACTCAGTGTCCCCTCTATGAATGAATGCACATGAACGTTTTCTTTCGGATCTTACCTGTTTCTCCAGAAGGGGGTAATTTTGTTTTTTAGAGATAGGGTCTCATTTTGTCACCCAGAATAGAGTGCAATGGCGCAATCATAGCTCACTGTAACCTCAAACCAGGGAAGATGTGTGACTTATAGGAAGAGATCATCACCTCTTCCTTACTGCTTTGGTGACAAGGAAACTGAAAGCCAAAAATATAGTCCAGATTTTAGCAATTATTTAGGACCTATGACTAATATTCTCCATTGCAACTGGGGGTGGGCTGGGGGGTGCATATGAGAATGAGCTCACTCCATCCACTACTCCCTCTGGGAAGGATTTCTGCAACACTCTGGTGATACTCATGCCTACCAGAAACTGGGAATGTCCAACTTTTGAGACCTAGCTAATGATGTATCCAAAGCACTAACCAGTACCTGCCATCTGCTAACAGAAATCCTCATGCTTATGGTTGTCCACAGCTCTTTCCGCCTTCGCCAAGGCCCTCGCAACAGAAGCCTCAGAGGCTTTCATGTGGGAGTCATGCAGGCGTCCCTGGGCCCAGATCTTTGCTGCTCACAGATGTCCAATTATTGGCTAAGTGACTGGGAGTGGCTGACGAGTCATGGACTGGGGAAAGGAGGGTGGGAGGGGAGCCCATGGAACCCCTGTCCACCCCAGTATCGTAGCCCACAGACTCTCCCCAGACACGGAGAGGGCAACATGGGACACAGTGAGGATAGAATCGGGCATCATAGGTGAGGTGGGATCTGCAAACTGCACACCCGCTGGTCTTCTGTCATGGCTCAAGTGAAAATGAAAACAGAAACTGCCCTTAGAGACAGGGGCAAAAAAACGGCTGTTCCTCCTTTGTCCAGCAGATGGCACACCAAGCACTTTCTTCTCACCTGGGAGGAAAGGGGGACCAATGGTGACTGCCCGGGGAGAGCTTCTAAACTGAAATGGGAAGACCCCATGGGATTCACAGGGCCTTTCTCTTAAAGCCATGGAGAAGAATGAGCCTCTTGGTTTGAGCTGACACTTCTGATGAAGGGAGGTGCCTCCATTCATGGCCACTCAGGGATTGGTTTGATGAGAAAGAACGAAAAAATTAAAAAATTAAAAAATAAACACAGTTCAGCAGTGTGTAAATATACAGAAAGGCTATGCATGTGGCTGAGAGAAGCACAGTTAAGCAGGTGCCACGCACCCCTGGGCATTGCCCTAGAAACATTCATGACAGCGTCTTCATACAAAATTCTAAGTGTGGGACTTTGCTCATAAAGAGGCTCCCCGGCAAGCACTGACAACAGACCTGGACTTCATCTCTCCACAGCGGCAGCCAGAGGGAAGGTTAGTGGTCACTGTTTGGTGTCATCCTGGACTTCCAGACATCTCAATTTACAAAAGGCTTCCAAAGCCTAACTGGTCATTAGGTTGAGGAGCTATTATTTGATAGTTAAGCTCAGAAACCAAAAACAGCTACACTGACGGCAACCCAACTCATGCAACCTGTCCAGAAACATACAAAACTGGTTTATGCCACCCAGCCAGCCGCAGATCATAGAGAGGTACACAAATAGCCAGGGGCAGAGACAGACTCAAGGCCAAGCAAAGAACCTGCAGCAGCGGCACACGGTGCACACGGCGCTGCACTCCGCAATGCCTGGCTAGCAGGCCAGCCCGCCCCCTAGGTGGAAGCGACTGCTTTGACATTGGCAGATTTTACAGCTGACCTTGGGATGTTCCACCCATCACATCAAACCCATCTGATATATGGCTAGAAGAGACTGCACCTTCACTTTCCCAAAAGGCAGCTAGAGTCACTAAAAGAGTGTCTTTTTCCTTTTAACAACAAAAGTCATCATAGTGAGTGAAGTTAAGATATATCTTGTTTGAAAGTCTGTGCACTTCAAGGTGACCATGACTGAATGACAGCAGCAGTAGCAACAACCAACCATGTTCTTGTACCAGTCATTGAAACTGCACTATGATTTGAAAAGGTCTCCCATTCTTTGCCTCTCACACTTCATCCCCTCAAAAACAATGATCACTTTGAAAACTCTTGTGAGAACAAAATTCCTACTCTGAAAAGAGCAGAAGTGATTTCCCCGTGTCTAGGAAGGCAAGAGTTTCTTTAGTCCACTATCATATTCAGTGCGTTTGGGTGGCTTTTTAAATGCCTTCAGGGAAGAATTTATTACCTTTATGCCCTTCTCCTGAACGTGTGTGTGTGTGTGTGTGTGTGTGTGTGTGTGTGTGTGTGTGTGTGCGCGCGCGCGCATGCGCACATGCATACATGGTATGCTGGACAAGGCAGCTGTCAGTCTTCATCGGCAGCAAGTCTCCACCTGGAGCACAGGTAGACACAGCCGCTGCACAGCAGGAGCAAGCCCAGCACGGTGTGACTGAGTGCCAGGACTCCAACTGCAAAGAGGTACAGGGTTTTGTCACAGTAGTCCTGAGGCTGCTGGAAAGGGGGAAGAAAATCAGGCAGGTACACAGAAAAGACCCAGTAGTTTCCCAGGATGAACCAGAGGAAGAGGAAGAGGCTCAGCAGGAGGTGGATGTAGTATCTGTGCGCATTCTGCCTCCAGGGGTATTCGTCGTCGTCGTCATCATCGATCACCACGGCCTTGGACAGCAGCCGCCTCATCCTGGTGGAGTCGTACAACAGGAGAGACACCTGGGGCGTGGTGGGGAGCCGGGTGGCAGGGCAGAGCAGCAAAGTAGAGGGGAAGAGAGGGGAAAGAAGGCAGCGGTGGCAGGGGTGTTGGGGAGAGAGAAAGAGGAGAGAGAGGAAGGTGTCATGAAAAGTGCACACACTGAGTTAGAAATGCCACCAAGCAGCAAAATTTAATTTGAAGAATGAGAATTAAAACTGGCAAGAATGAAGGCATTGATTCATCGCCAGCATCCTCAGTGGCGTCTTCCTTTTAGATGTGTGAGTTGGTTTGGACAAGGGGTTAGTTGGGGTGACTGGTCTCCGCATCAAGGTTCAGACTGACTCTCCCCTGTATTGTGCTAGCACATTTGCACCCACACATAATGTAAAAATGACACCTGGTCCGCATGCTAGAGGCCTTGAAATAGATCCCTCTCTCTTGGCAGAAACCCCCAGCAGACTTTTCCCTGGTACTTCCAGGCCATGTAACAGGCTTGGCCAAATCCAGGTACTGTGAGCCGTTTCCTCCCCACCCCAGCCCCGCCCAGCCTGCTTTCTCTCTTCTTGGAAGTTTGCACCACTCCCCATCTCAGGCATCTGGAATTCCCAAGTGGGGCTGTGGACTGAGAGTGTTGTCTCTCTTGTCCTTGTACACCTTTCAAGTCAAGAGCACAGACCCTTGTCCTTGGAGTGATACTCTTGGGGGACAAAGACCATCTGGGCCCCTGGCAGATGATCCCTAACTCCAGCCTGACACGCCTTTGAAATTCTGCTCCCACTTGGTTACACAAAGCACCACAACCCACCCAACTCTAACTGGCCACAGATGCCTTTGTCACAGGGGAGCACACTTCCCCTGGAAATGCAGCGGTGGAAGGACACAGGTGGTCTTTGCTAAGGAATCCCTTAGCAGCTCCCCGTCTTCTCTGCCTAGCAACTTGATCTGTGATGTTTTTGAAAGCCTGGCCTGTGTATCTGCTCTCTCCGGCTTCCTAAGCTGCCTACCTCTCCCGAGGCCACGCTCATGGCACCCCTAACCCTGGAGAGCAGGGCATTAGAAAGGATCCTTGGATGATGGAGGATGTAGCTGACTGGCAGAGGCGGGGAGAGATTCTGAGCTTGAGTGAAATGGAAGGGCAAGCAGGAGCCAAGAGATGCAGCTAAGTGGGCTCCAAACTGTGAAGAGAAGCAAGGATAAAATAAAGAGACAGAGAGATGGGAATAGCGAACCCCAAGCCATGCCTTTGGGTGGGTGATGACTCCAGGTTTGGACTTGTTCCATTTAAAATTCTGGATGGAAATGCAGGTGCTAGTGGCCCGCAGGGGGCGGAGTCAGAGCCTGGAGGTGAACAGAGACAGGTGAGGACTCCTGGCGGAGATCTGGGAGCTACCCGTGAGGAGGTGATAGTGACTCTGGAAATGGGTGTTGTACAAAAATAGACCCCAGTACTGAGCAAAGTGCTTGACATACATTATCTCAATGAATTCTCCCAGCCTGAGGCAAGAGGTACTAAATAAACATGGGCGCAGGACCAAAACTGGAGCCATTGGGCCAAAATGTCAATAGCGATTTTCTCTGGGTGGTGAAATTTACAGATGATTTTGATTTTTTTTCTTTGTCCTTATCTGCATTCTCTGATTTTCCACAATGGAGAGTTATTACTTATGTAAAGCTACAAAACCTAAGGAGGGTGGTTAGTTCAATGCTTGGTATGTGTGATCTTTAATGTCCATCCTCGCCTGGGGCTGCATATTATCCCTGTTGCCCAAATGAGGAAACTAAGGCTCAGAGAAGTTAAGTCGCTTCAGTGAGATCCACAGTGAGTAAAAGAATGAGAAAGGCAGTGATCCACACCTCTTTGACCACTGTCTACACCACAGTACACCGATGATTAAATCAGAGGAAATTAAATTGGAGGGTTCACTCCTAAGACTTGCAGCCTGGCTGGGAGGCAGAACATCTCCATAAGAAAAGGAAAGTGAGACCTTAGGGGACTTCGGAGAGACACCCACAGTAGAGCTGACTCATCCAGGGAGGGCTGCCTGGAAGAAGGGGCATACTTGGGACCCCTATGCACAAGGAGAGGTGCGAGGGTCCTCTCTGAGGGGGAGTGGTGTGGCAAAGGTGAAGGGTGGTGGGTTTAGGGTAGGGGGAAAAAACCAACTGACGGTAGTAGGTTGGCTGATCGTGGCTGTGTGGTTGGGAAAGCCCAGGTTGAACACCAGCTCTGCTGTTGCCTCACTGTAAGCTGGAACTGAGAATCCAGCTCAAGTCTCCATCACTCAGATGCATTTCCCTTCCTTGCAGGGTCCCATTCCTTGGAGGAATTCCCCCACCCACCACGTGTCCACAGATCTGGCTGCCCTCCCAGGACTGGTTCTCGGCTGTGATGATGCCAGGAGAAAGGAACCAGCCCGAGGAGAGAGCTGTGGCAAGTGGGTCCCACTGCCCAGACTTTATGGAGCCACCTGGCCCCCTTCTCTCCCACTAACCTTTGAGGTTGTGAGCTCTTCCAATCAATGACCTTTTAAGTTAGCCAGGGCTGATTTTTTGTTCCTTGTAGTCAAAGAATCCTTCCTGAAGCAAGTACCTGCCTCAAAGGGGCACGGTGAGGACTGAATGAGCTCCAAATAGGGCAGAGTCATCAGCATGGCATTAGCAAAAAGCACATGCTCACCAGGGTAGCAATTGCCACTAGGAAGGGTGATGTGCGAAGATGAGGGGAGTGCAGGGTAGGCGATGGTCACTGAATCCATGTTTTGGAAACTGTCTTTTAACACGACCCTCAGTAACGAATACATTTTATGCCAAGTCCTAGGCACTGGGTAACTGCATGTCCTTGTTGGCTTAGAGAAGTCCTGGTTTATGCTGTTGTTCTGGCAGGATGATTATTAGAGCCGCTTTGTACTCTCAAAAGTGTCCCAGTTAGGATGATAAATTATACGGTCAACTCACCCAAATACACATGTTCATATGTAAGTATCACACAATACTTAACTTACTAGGCACTCTAATTTTCTATTTTATTTTTTAAAAAGCAGGTCACAGCCTACTTAATTCATTTCCTGATCTTCATAACCCTCAGTTCTTTTGGGTAGCTCCATGAAATGTCAGCTCACATCTCTTCGTTTCTCTCCATAGAGTGCAATACTGTGAAGCTATCTGATGCATTTCAGGAAGGATGTTGGGGCCCCCTCAGCAGGTTTGAGGTTGAATACGAACCATCATTATTACAAGTAAACTTCTGCTTCTGGGGACTCTAATCGTGTTTGCCGCTGCTCTAATGGTTATGGACTCACTGTATATTACCCTTGCCATCATGAGCACAAAAATTTAATTTGGCTTCAAACGGTTTTAGATTGCCAGGGCAAAAAAATCAATGCTGCTTATTAGGGCCTTAGTTTGTTCATTAAAATAAATTACCTTTGGGTCCTGGGTTGGCTTTCAGAAAGGAAAAGTTTGCTGTTATTAAGAGGAACAGACCCCACGGACAGCAGCATCTCTAAAGGAAAGCTCCACTGGGCAGCTTCACGATGAGGTAGTCGAATGAGAACAGGAGAGGCAGAGGTAATTACTGCTAAAAACGCTGCCCTTGTTTTAAGCATCTCTGTGGCACTCAAACTGTCAGAGCCTTCCCTTAACACTGTGGGGGCCATGGGGAAAATGTGGCCCCGCTGAGCCAAGAGCCTTTGGGTTTTCTTGGAGCTGAACAGAGTCCCTGGTAGATCCCATGGGGATACTGTGATGGGGACCATCGTGTGTATTTGTACATTTTAGGACACTGCCCACCAGACCGCTGTTAGGAGATGGGGGCATTTATCAGGGAGGTTCCCTCAGACACAAAAGCCTCCAAAGGTTTGCCCCAAATCAGACGTCTCCCACGACAGAGTGGAGCTTGTGGCTACCAGTTGCATATAAGAACAATTTTCAAGACATTCCTTTGATGTCTTAGATCAACAGCATGACCAGCTCCACTGGCCAGGATCGCTCCAAAGATTCCAGCACCAGAAGGCAGCTGGCAAAGAAACCCAACAGTGGTTCCGAATAAAAGTTCACACTTGGCACTCTTAACTCACTTTTCTCTTGTGTTATGGCTTTGTTTTTATGGAACCATCTTGGGGAAATGGATGCTTGTGTTTTCTGGCTTTGATATAGAAAGTGGTGAGGTGGGCTTGGAAGGCTGGGAAGAGTTGTTGATAGATGGAGGCTGACCGAAACTTCTCTTGGTAGGTGTAACATTGCTGTGGGCCAGGGATCTTGAAAACAACTGCACGCTATGCATGCCCCTGATATTTCTTCTTCAGTTGCTTTTTCTGTTTAAACAAATGTCAATATAGCCCAGGAGCAGATTAACTACATAACCTTGAGAGTCACAGAGAAGCACTCCTACCCCAGGCATAAGAATACTTTAATAGTTGATTGATAACTGCAGCCAATTAATCCTATGTTAGTCAATTGAGAACTAGGAGGTATAGTTAAAAGCAGAAATAGGAACTGCTAAATCAAACATATTTTAACCAAATGCAAACCCTGCCTGAACAGGAAGCTTTTTTAAAGCAGCAGTGCAGAGAAAGACCATGATTTCACTGGCTGAATTCAATGGCATAACTGGCAGTCAGGGACTCCTCTGCATCAACTCTTGTCAGACCAAAGCCACAGCTTAGCACACTGAACTCGACAGCAAGAAGGAAGCTCTTGCAAAGAAGCGCAGCCCTGGGTAAATGCCCTGCATCTGGAAAAATCTGTGTCTCTGGAGCCAGCCCCATCACTTCAGCAACCACGCTTAGGGGGAAGTTGTTTTGGCTCCCCTGTGAATAGCAGGCAAATAACAGGTGCATTCCAGGATGGCTGTGAGTTAAATTTCTACAAGGACTACAAACAGCAGATAAAGATACTTTACCTTTAAGGTGCCGACAATGCCACCCACTAGCAAATATAAAGGTATGAGGGGCTGTATAGGGCAGTCCTCCAAAAATTTCATTCCTGCATAGGGCAAACAGAAGATGATTGAGAGAAATACATTCAAGAGCACAAAGCCTGGTTCTGAAGATGAGTGGAACACCTTCAAAAGCCAACATGTTAAACATGCAAACCATATGCTTGTGGGATCTGCTCAGCCTCACCAGTCACCTGATCCCCAGGATGCTCAGTGGATTGACACTGCAGAACTCACTCTCACAGCGGAGTGGCGATAAATACTCCCGCGGACAGGGCAGGGACCAGGTGTCAGTGCACCTTTTTTCTGGGTATTAACTGGCTATGGGTTGCACTCTGCTTTTCTGAATAGCCAGTGTATGAGAACTCAAGTTTTCAAGGATTCAGAATTCAAAGGATCCCTTTAAATATACAGTTTTCTTGATATGCTTAAAATAAGATTTAATTTATGAGTCACATTTCCAAAATGTGACTCTGTGAATGAGGTTCTCATCTACTCTGTTTCCAGGGACCAGGTGGCAGGGAGGAGCCGCTCTTCCTCCTTGTGTAGCGAGCCCTCTGCTGTGTTAGTCACAGTCACCATATGATCACCATTGACCATGTCACTCACTGGACCCCACGCTGGGAAACACGCGTGTGCTCACATATCCTTAGCTACCAGATACAGAGTACTACCAAGCCAGCCTGCCCAGACGCCTACCCTTTCTTAACGGTAATTTTTCTCCCCAAAGCAATGCTCTGTCTACTTTTCTCAGGTCTTTGTTCTCTAGACCTATTATTAACAAATGACATAATGTGTCTATTTAAAATATAAAGAAGAAATGCCCATTTCCGTCAGGGACCAGTCTGGCTCAAATGACCAAGCTCCAGATGAATTCTAACAGACACCTTTGCTATGGGAGACACTGACTGCCCAGCATGTGCCCCCACCACATTGCCCATCTCCCTTGTTGAGTAGCAAGGCAGTGTGACCAGTTCTGACCAGTGGGCTGTGGGACACTTTGGGGCCAAAGCATGTGTTTATTTTTTTTGAGACAGAGTCTTGCTCTGTGGCCGAGGCTGGAGTGCAGTAGCATGATTCAGTTGCAACTCACTGCAGCCTCAACCTCCCAGGCTCAAGCGATCCTCCCACCTCAGCCTCTGAGTATCTAGGATCACAGGGATGTGCCACTATGCACAGCTAATTCTTTTTTCCTTGTAGAGAAGGGGGCTCGCTATGTTGCCCAGGTTGTTCTCAAACTCCTGGGCTCAAGTGGTCCTCCTGCCTGGGCCTCCCAAAGTGTGGGATTACAGGCATGAGCCATTGTGCCCAGCCCAGGCCAAAGCATTTAAAAACTGATACATGATTCGTTGTTTGCTTCCTCTGCTTTGACCACCTGGAAGCCATGGGTGGAGATGGATTGTTCTCAAGATTGAAGCAGCTTGGAATATTATGTCATCACATTGCCTGGGAAGTCCCCATGCCCACTGACCCATGATGGAATTTGCATAAGCAAGAAATAAACCCTTATAGTGTTAAACCACTGGGATTCCAGGGTTAATCTGTGACTGCAGCACAGTTAAGTTACCCTGGCTAATACATTTGTCAACAGATTCCAAGAAAGGGAATTCTTACTGTAGAACCAAAGCCTCCTGTTTAAATGACATTTAGACTTTTAGCTTTGATTTGACATTTGATTCCCTATAAATGCCTGATACTTAAGCAGAGGGAGTAAACTGTTTTTCTATGACTACACCATATTCCACTGAAATGAACAAAATTCTCTAGGTGTACAGAGAGCTATAAATTCAGAGCCCAAACAGAATTTAGTCAAATATACACATTGATCCGATCATCAACCTATGGAGGCTTGTCTTTTAGTTATCTCTGATGTGTAGCCGAATTTGTTATTAAATGGAAATACTTTCCAAGTCTCAACACAGCCTTTTCACACAAAGACCTTTAAGCACTTGGTGCCAAATTTGTTGGACATGGACCGCCTTTCAATTCAAAAGCCAGCTGTGAAATGAACACTGAGTAATGGCTTAGATATCTGCTCATTCCCAGTGAATAAAAACAGCTGCTGTTCACAGGAGAGTCAATCAGTGCACAGATGGCTTAAAACGATCCTAATAAATTTAATAAAAGCCGTCTTTCCCCCTTGGTTCTCACGTACTGCTTAGGACCTACCTAAACTCTAGATTTTCTTTCTTGTCTGATCTGCAGTATCGCGATTATTCTTTTTGGCTTTAGATCTCTCCCTAGTTCAGCTGATAACAACTACCAGATGTAGTGATTTTTAAAATATTTGTTATTGTGATAAAATATCTCAACAAACATTGCCATTTTAACCATTTTTAAGTGTACAATTCATCGGCATAATTACATGCATCATCTTGTGCAACTATCCCCACTATCTATTTCCAAAATGTTTTCATCACCCCAAACACAAACTCTATAACCAATATTGCTCTAGAAGCAACAAGACCTCCAAAACCCTCTTTCTGCAGTGGATGTGGTGATTTTAATATAATATCCATGGGAATTGGCTTGTGGGGTCTTTTCTCTTTTATGCAGCCTTGTTGGTGGATGAATTGTTGCAGTTAAGTTCATTTGAAAGGTAACTGGCTGGGTGCGGTGGCTCATGCCTGTAATCCCAGCGCTTTGGGAGGCCGAGGTGGGCAGATCATTTGAGATCAGGAGTTCAAGACCACCCTGGCCAACGTGGTGAAACCCTGTCTCTACTAAAAATACATAAATTAGCCAGGCGTGGTGGCGGGCGCCTGTAATCCCAGCTACTTGGGAGGCTGAGGCACAAGAATCGCTTGAGCGGGGTAGGCAGAGGTTGCAGTGAGCCGAGATCGTTCCACTGCACGCCAGCCTGGGTGACAGAGTGAGACCCTGTCTCAAAAGAAAGCAAAAAGAAAGATAACTAACCCGAGAGTCCAAAGGCTAGGGTTCTCTTCCCTTACAGATTTTGCATAGAATGCCCTCTGGAGAGTATTCCTGACTTCCTAAGCTGGGTACGCCTAACATCTGTGAACTCTTCTTGGAAGAACAGAGCCACATGATAAATGTTAATTTTTGAATTGCACTGTAATAATCACAGTACCAGGGCCTACTGAAGTGACTGAATTGTTCACTCTTACACTAAATGGCCCCAGACTACTTAGCTGTTTTAGTTCTCTGCAAACCTTAAAATCTTATCTTCTTTTTTATTTCCTGTCAGGCTGTTAGCTTTCATGTCTTACAGATCTAAGGATACTGTTTTTGTTTCCATTTTTAGTACTGTGGCTTCAGCAGGAGTGGCAGGGTGAAACTTACATAACAAAATAAACCATTTTAAAGTGAATAATTCAGTGGCATTAAGTGGATTCACAATGTTGTGCAACTACCACCTCCATCTAGTTCAAAAACATTTTCATCACCTCGGAAGGAAGGCTCCTACCCATTAAGCAATTAGGGTACTGGGTGTTTCGTTGTTGTTTTGCAACAACTGCTCCAATATGCTGTGAGCTTGGACCTAGAACACTGGGCCTGCTGAGCTTCTTTTCTGTTTTGTTTTTTTGGTTTTTGTGTTTTTTGGAGACGAGGTCTCACTCTTGTTGGAGTTGGCTGGAGGTACAGTGGCACCATCATTCCACCTCAATCTCCCAAGTAGCTGGGGCTACAGGCGCACGCCACCACACCCAGCTAATTTTTAAGTCAAGACTTGAATGTTTTTGGTAGAAACAAGGTCTCACTATGTTGCCCAGGCTAGTCTCAAACGCCTGGGCTCAAGCATTCGGCCCGCCTCAGCCCCATAAGTGCTGGGATTATAGGCATGAGCCACTGTGCCAGGCCATGCTGGGCTTCTAGGTAAATAGGGGTAGCTAGGTCCTGTACGCGGGCCTCAGGGGCTCCCATTAGCAGTGTTCAGGAGCATGAGATTAATTTCACTGACACGTGATAACAATTCTTAGCTACTCAAGGAGCTTCCCCCATCCTGCCCCTCCCCTGACCTCTGCTAGACATCACACTTCTGAATTATGAGGTTGTTTAATATACGTGATTTATGGAAATATTCATTCATTCAGCAAAAAAATGTATAGAGTACCCATACGTCACCTAGCGCCAGGTGCATTTTTTGTATTGCTCGCATCCTGCTTCCACAAGGGAACATAGGAACTGGGAAAGGACTTTGGGAAACCTCTAGCCCAGTCACTCCCAAACTTGGGCTAGAGGGATCAGAATCATCTGGGGACAGATTTCTAAAAGAGGGTGTCTGTTTCCACCCAGATATACTGCACTGATATCTCCCAGGGTGGGGCCCAGGAATGTGTGTTTTTTAAATCTTCACCAAGTCATTCTGAGATGGCACATAGGTGTCTAGGAATCATCGGGCTGGCCAGTTCTTCTTAAGCACATATTTAATGTTTAGAGATTACACGCCTTGGGTCCATGCCCCAACCTGGCTGACCTGTGGCGTCCAGCAGCTCGGCAGGCAGCTTACCTATGAAGGCCATGGACAGAGGTAGAGCCAGGAAAGCGCAGAGCACAAAAACGAAGCAGGCTGCAAGGAGAAGAAGGGGCAGGCACTGGGTTAGAAACACACAGACCCTTGCATTTCCTCTTTACTGCAGTTTCTTAAGCATCCTGTGAAACCTGACTTTCTCTCCAGAGGCAAGTCAGCAGACAGGAGGAGAAGGTCGCAGCTCGCCTGGGGCTCCCACACAGTGGATGCAAGCCAAGACTTGCATTTCTCAGAGAGCTGAACATCTCTTGTGATCACTCTGCTGATGCCAAGGCCCAGATTTCCTGCAGGACCTCTCCAAGTCTGACAGCTTATAGAAAAGGAGTTTATAAACTGCCACTGTGCCTGTGCCAGGATGCCAGAAGCTGCCGGCATCCACTGAGCCGGGCAGGATTCACCCTGTGCTTCCTGGGCTCCTGTACCCAGGGCAGATGGTTCTTCTCTTCCCTGGATAAAATTCACTGACAACTCACTTTATCACTTTAAGTATTTGCTTCACAAAATCTTTTTCCCTTTCCATTCATTTGGTTATATATTCCATAGCCCATGACATTAGGTGGGCTCCTAAAACTTCTTGCTGACACAGTATAATAGAGCTTTGAACTGACTTTGGGTTTTTCTTTCTGTTAATGCCACCAGTTCAACTTTTAGACATTGGGAAAGAACAAAAGAATGGGGGCTACACAGGCTTGGGTCCAAATCCTGGCCCTGTCACTCACTGGCCATGTGGCTTTGGGTAAATTCGTTGACATCCTGAAACCATTTTCCTCTTCTGTAAAAGGTGGTGACAGATATATGCATGAGGACCTCAGTGTATGAGGCAACTTTTATGATTAGGCAATTACTTCCCCACTTTGCTTCTTGGTTTTCTCATCTGTTCAACGGACTGCAGATATAAGTTTTGCTTGGCCAGTAATTTTTTTTTTGAAAGTGTGAATTTGAATGCTTCTTGGGTAGGCCTGCCCCCCAGTTCCCACTGTCAGAGTCTTGACAGTATCACACATCTGTGTTTTCTGCTGAGTCCCGTTGTCATGCTGAGAGCTGACAGAGGATCTCTGAGTGAACATCATGGTAGCTTCTGCAGCATCTGCTCCTTCCTCTCTAGGTCATCACCTCAATTATTTTCAGGTACCACCACCTCCCTACCTCCCCATTCTCCTGTGCCATTTATGTGCTCTAGCAGAAGCTGACCCCACCCTGGCCATGGAAAAGGGCATGAAGTTTCACCCTCAATTAACCAGAAGAGCCCCACTTACCAGATATGTTATTAGTAGGTAGGCTCATGACTTATATTGGGAAATTTACTGAGAGTCAGGAAAAAGCTTTCTCACTCTGCTGACAAAACTTCCGGAAACAAGGTTTCTCCCTTCCTGGCCACTGGTGAGGAACTGAATCACTCCAGGGGTGGCTGGCAGCCTTCCTGCCACCATGAGGGGAAGCCAGCCTGCGAATGAGACCAATGCCAAGAGGCAAGAGGAGAGGTGAAAAGAAACTGGGTTCTCAGTGACATTCGTCACCCATGGAATCATACTACCCTTGATGCTAAACTACTTCTGGACTTGTCATGTATAGGAGCCAATAAATCCCCTTTATTACTTTAGCCAGCTTGAGTTGGGTTTTCTATACTATACAGCGTCCACTGTACCTGGCTTCATCTGCAAGGTCCTTTGCGGTTCTGAATTGTCAAAGATCTAGGATTTATCTGGGAATCTGTCTTCTTTAGAGAAGTGATCTAAGGCTGCAAGTGCCTCCAGCTGGGAGCCTCACGTGCACACCACCAAACGCCAGCTCTGATCTTACTACCCACAGCGGGTAGGGTGCACAGGGCAGGGTCTGCCCCTCTCTCAAAGAGACCCCAGAAGTTGCCCTCCATGCCCATCCTGACCTTCACCTCCAGGAAATGTTGATGCGGGCAGGCACGCAGAGTGATTTGCCCCAATTTCACTCCTCCCCTCAAAACATCCCTGAGTTGGATACAATGCTATCACCAGAGCCAGCTTCACAGGCATGCAACTTAACGGCCCCATGCTTGGGAGGACCCAGCATCTGGTTTGACGCTCTTCTGTTGCCATCTTGAAATTCTAAATAAATTTCTCTCGAAATCGTGTATTGTAAGTGAAGTTGGACAGGACAGTGAGGCATACGTGTGAGCAGAGGGAGCCTGTGAAATGCTCGCGTCTGCTGCTCTTCACCGCCAATATTCACATTTACTCTGCGAGACTCGGAGCCAATACGAGGGAAGCGTGTTGTGTCTTCAACCAAGTAAGCAGGGGGCTGACAGTCCTGAGAAGATATACTTTCATTTGAACCAGAACTTGCTTCAGATGCAGACAGAAGGCAATGATGTTCTAAGAAACAGGAACCACCAAGGAACCCCACCAACCCCTTTCTGACGCCTAAATTAGTCTACTTTTTCCTCTCAGACCTTCCTCACCCATCTGTGAGCAGAAGGTGGAGAATGGGGGCAGAATGCGCCCATATCAAGAAGCAAATGAAGACTTGTTAGTTTTGTACAAAGTTTCCAATGTTCCAGTAAAAACAAAATACGTATAAGAGCGATGAAACACAAGTTGTGTCACTTCAGTGACTCAACATATGAGTTAAATGCTCTTACAGTTGCATTTAAACCTGGCATTACACAAAATTAAGATGAATGATAAAATATATACTAATAATTACACATTTTGATTTCCCCCTACTTAAAAATGACATTAAATAGCAAATAAAAAGGCCAAAAGAGAGACTGCAAAAGAAAGGAAAAAGCTTTTTATATTTTAGTCCCTTGAACAGTGCTTCTTTCCTGCTTTTTGAACAAGGTACTTTGCATTTTTGTTTTGCTCTGGGGCCCTGCTGGTCACGGGTGACACAGTGCTGCTGGCAGGTGTGGTGAATTAGAGAGAATTTCAGTTAATCTACTCTAGCCACATCTGTTTTAATTTTCAACTTAGAGTGGGGGTCAAGGAAGAAATTTCTTGCTGGCAAAGGACAGACAGTCAAGGGGTCGCTGAATCCCATTCTGTATTTCTGACCTTGGAGCTTGTTATAAGGATGATAAAAAGTGATTGGGATTCCAGAAAATCCTTCCCTGTGCTGCAAGCTTAAGGCAGATGGTGCCACCTGGCCACATATATAATCCAGGCAGTGAGTGATACAAAGAAATGGAGCAGTCCCCAAGGAGGCACCTGTCACCCAAGCTCCCTACTGAAGCGTGGCAGAATATGCCACCCCGAACTATGCAGCTGTGGCATAAAGGCTATTTGGAGCTAAAGGCACTTAAAAAATAGCAGATGGAAGAAAGGTGCCCTGACCCTCCCCTTTTCCTTCTTAAAAGTGGGAAATAAAAGTCCCACATAGAGGATGTCCTCCCTATACCAGAGAAAAGCACCATTCTTATCATCAAGGATGGGACACTGAGACCACGAGAATTCTGTACAAACAGATCTTGTCAAAATCATTTTCATCTTCCCTTAGCCTCCCCGCATAGTTTGGTTCCTTTCCTGCAATTACCTCTCTTTGTTCAGCCAAGTATAAAAGCATTTGGGTTTTGCTATTTCTTTGGGTTTCCACTTCTTATAAAGGCTCTTGTGTCACGTAAAACTTGCACTAAATTAGTGTGCTTTTCTCCTGTTAATCTGTCTTATGTGAGTTTAATTCTCAGGCCCAGCTGAAAAGCCCTAAGAGTGGAGAAGCAAAACGTTACCTCCCCTTCACTACCTCCCAGCAGGGCTGAGAGAGATGGCCAGGGCCAGAACATTCTTAATGACC